AAGATCATATTTTCTGACTGCTGATCCTTAGTCACCAATAATTATCAATGCATCTTGATTCATGTCTGATCCATTTCATATGATTGGTGCATAAATTTGAATGTGTTTTTATTAACTGGGTATTATCCTATCAATGAATGCATTGTACTTCAGGATAGATCTTGAAATGCAACATATATTTGTAATAAACATATAATTGTCCAATTCAGAATGGCCAATACTAGTACATTTCAACTCCTAATGCCTAGGCTATTGATCTTTATGTGTTCCATTTCATTTTTGATGACTTCTAATTTTCTTAGAGTCATATGTCATACATTCTACATTTAGACTATTAATGGGTGTTTGAAGTGATTTCATTTTGAGCCATGTTACATCAGCAAATGAAGTTCCTGAATGTCATTAAGGTTGACTCTAGTTTAAGGAAGCAGATTTCCACTCCCCAACTCCCTCCACCCCCCGTCATATTGTGAGTGCCTTCCAACCGGAGGCTCTCATCTTCTGGCATTATAACAAACAATGGTCTGCTGGTATTCATAAGGTTTTCAGTGGTTAATTTTTCAGAAGCTGATCACCTCCTCATTCTTCCAATCTGTCTTAGTCTGAAAGCTTTGCTGAAACTGGTCCATCATGTTAGTATTTGAAATACAGATGGCTTATAGCATCACAGCAATATACAAGTTACCACAGTAAATAAGACAAACTGAGTAGTGGAGGTGTGCTGTCGAGTTGGTTCCGACTCATAGTGACCCTGTATAGGATTTTCGAGGCTGTGAATCTTTACAGTAGCAGAAAGCCTCATCTTTCTTCCGCTGAATCACTGGTAATTTCGAACTAGCTGATCTTGAGGTTAGCAGCCCAACTCCTAACCGTAACCACTACACTACCAGAGCTCCTTTGTCTTTTAGTGTGACTTATTTAATTAAGCCTAATGTTTTCTATAGCACCTGCTATTCCCAGACAGTCTCCTATCCAAGTACTAATTAGGCTCGACCCTGCTTAGTTTCCGAGATCAGACGAGATTGGGTGCATTCAGGGTGGGCTAATGCACTGGACTGCAAAGTCAGTCAGTTTGAGCTCCAAAGTAGGTGGTTCAAGCTCACCAGCTGCTCCTCAGAAACCCTATACAGGGTTGCTATGGGTCGGAACCGACTTGATGGCACTTAGTAACAACAACGTTTTTTAGATCCATCCATTTATCAGAACATATCTCCATGAGTGCCTCGGTTTTTACTATCAAAAGTAGCAACCTTGCTAATTTATTACACTGTGATTAAATAATCTGTGAGCATCTAGCTAATATCAGTCCCTCCTCTGTAGACAGAGTACACTGTGAGGGGGGAGGGCATATCTTGCTCACTAGGTAACTCTCAAGACCTCACACAGTACCAAGCACACAGTGGGCAGCACTCAGGGAATTTGTTTGAGGTATGAATATCACATTGCCTCAAATATTCCCAGGATAATCTAATTTTGTCTGATGATGCCGAGAACTGGGAGGTGGGGAAGAGGAGAATTGAGAGGCCAAAAAGAGGCATGAAAAACTAATGCAGAGATCCATTTGACCAGGAATTTCTACCAGCCCTGAAAAAATATGAAGAGACCTGCAGTTTGAGAACATACTGTCTTAGCTGACTAGAGACTGTCATCTCCTGAGGATAGAGGCTGTATCTTTCAGTCCAGAAATCCCCAGGCCCTAGAAAAGTGCTTGTAACAGAATGTTGTTGTTGTTGTTAAGTGCCATTGAGTCAATTGCTACTCACAGTGTCCCTGTATAGGGTTTCTAAGGAGTGGCTGGTAAGCTTCAACTGCCAACCTTATGGTTCAAGCCGTCCCTGAGTCCAGCCCATTAACCCACAGTGCCACACCAGGACTAAGTGTCAGAGTTGGTTTTGACCCATAGCGACCCTGTTCAGGGTTTCCTAGGAGCAGCTGGTGAGCTTTAACCACCGAACTTGCGTTTCAAACTGACTTTGCAGTCTAGCGCATCAACCCACAGCACTACACAAGGACTCCCTGGCACAGACTAGATGTCGATAAATTCATTCATTCATTCAACAGGTATTTGCTGAGTGCTGATTATGAATCAGACATAGTTCTAAAATCTTGGAAGATAACAGTGAACAAAACAGACCAATTCTCTGTCCTCGTGTCATATTCCAGTACAGGACACAGACAATAAATGAAAAAGTAAAAATGAAAGTACAGTTAAGCAGGGTAAGGGAAATAGAGCAGGATGGGGGTTGCCATAGTATATAGGGGACAACAGAGAAGAGATGGGGGAGGGGCAAGAGCATGCCAGGCAAAGGATATAGCATGTATCAAGGCATCTGGAGTCCTGATGTGCACTGTGGGTTAATGTGCTGGACTGCAAAGTCATTTGAACCTCAAGGTCAATGTTTCAAGCTCACCAGTCACTCCTTGGAAATCCTACACAGGGTCGTTATGGGTTGGAACCGACTCGATGACACTTAACAACAACAACAACAAGGTATCTGAGGTCCTACAGTGAGAATTATCTGTGGGTCTTTGAGGAACATCAAGGAGGTCAGTGGAGCATCAAGGAGAACAGTTGTTTAGGGAGACAGTGAGAGGATATAAAGCAGATGGGATACCAGGATCAGAATAAGGTGGAAGAAAGATGAACTCAGTACAGCAGGGTGAAAGATGATGGTGGTTAGGTGTAGTCTTGGGTGGTACTTCTAGCAGCGTTGAGAGAAGGCAACTTGGAAGGTGCCCCTTGGAGACTTGAAGGTTCAGGGAAAGAAAAAAGAAGTTAAAAGTACTGTAGAAACAAAAGAGAACCACAGGAAACATCAACTCCTTCCCCTTCAAAAAAGAATACCATTGCTTAGAGAATCTAACTGTGTATCATGTTGATGATAGTGTCCACACAGAAAAAAAGAAGTATCAATCTAATTAATGTGTGAACATTATATGCTAGTGGAATATATTCTAAGAACAGAAAGAAGGGCCAAGAAGACTTGAAATGGACTTAGTAGACTTGGAGAAGAACTCTGGAGTATTGATTGCATTGGTGTTTGTGAACTCACAGGGAGAAAATATATACAGTGTCCTGGGGTCATGCTGGTTTCTTGGTTTCCAAGGAACAGCTGATGGGTTTGAAGCACCGACCTTGCGGTTAGCAGTCCAGTGCTTATCCTACAGTGCCACACTAGGACCTAGGTAGTATTGCTATCCAAAACATTCTATCTGAATCAAATATAAGCAAACAGTTAAATCCAAGTTGAGGGACATTCTCAAAACAACTGGCCTGGAGTTTAGAAAAATGTAAATGTCATGGGATACACAAAGTCATGGCGCTGTGCTAGACTAAAGGGGACTAAAAGGCACGAACACTAAAGGCAATTGACTCAATTTTTGGAGTAAAAATGTATGAAAGGTATTATTGAGACAGCTGGGTGAAATTGAACATGGGCTGTGCCATAATGTCCTTATTCTTGGGATGTTCAGGCTGTGGTATTTAGAAATGTCATGATAGCCTCAACTTATCTCAAATAATTCAGCTAAAAGAAAAAAAAAGATGCTCATGATTACAACCGAGTGTAGGAGAAGGATCGTGTATGGGTGTTCATTGTACTAGTCTTATAACTCTTCATTTAAAAATAAAAATCAACAATACCTAAAACAAATAATCATCCAGGGCTAGGGAGCATATGGACATATCAAATGAAATAAGAAAGCCTATGAGTTGGAACTTGTTGAAACTGGATAAGGGGCTTACTAAAACTATTCTACTATTACATAGGTTTGACATTTTCCACACTAATTTTTTTTTTTTTTAAATGCCTGAGAAGAGATAACTAGAGACAGCAAACAGAGTTTTTGAGGGATTTTGCTGTAAAGGGGAACAGAGACATGGAGCAATGAATCCAAGGAAAGTGGGGCCTACGAGTTTGTGTGTGTGTTTTCTTTTAACTTTGAATTTTGAAATAAATTCAGACTAACCCAAAAGTTACAAAGTCTCCTTCAAAGATCTGTATCTCTTTCAAGGGAATCTCTTTTACAAGACGAGAGATATGATAGATAGCATGTGTCTGTACTAGTAGGAATAGTCCAGTAGAGAGGGAAAGTTGATGATGCAGAGGAAAGAGGGTGGGCTAGCTAGAGCAAGGATGCTGCAGAGGTGGGCGGGATGGGGTCTAGTGCACCGTGGAGCTGCAAAACCTCAGATTAGAACTGTGTTACTCACTCTTCTCTCACAGCCTTCTCCATGTGATTGAGAATCGATCAAGCAAAAGCGTCACCCACTGAACTCGAAGCAGCAATACAGGGCTATACCTTGCAGTGTCTTGCACATTTTGTCACTGTTACGTTGTTGCTAAGTGTCATCGAGTCAGTTCTGACTCATAGTGACCCTGTAAAGGGTTTCTGAGACTTTTCATCTTCATGGGAGCAGAAAACTTCATCTTTTTCCTGAGAAGTGGCTGGTGGGCTCAACCTGACGACCTTGTGGTTCACAGTCCAGTGCTTATCATATGAAGGCACCGCACTCCCACATTCTATAATGGTGTTGTTGTTGTTGGTAAGTGCTGTTGAGTCAGTTCCAACTCATAGCAACCCTGTATAGGGTTTCCAAGGAACAGCTGGTAAGTTTGAACTGCCAACCTTATGGTTCAAAACAACCTTGCAGCCCAGTGCTTTATCCCACAGCGCCACACCAGGTTTTCCATAGTCTATAACAGGTGTTCATTAGACATGAAAGAATGAATGAAGAACCAAATAAATGATAACAATCTAGGAAATACTGAAATGAATAACAACTCTCTCTCTTTTTTTTTTTTTTTACCATTGATATTATGCTCTTCCTGTTTTAAATTCTTCTAAATCTTTAAATTCATCTCCACCCACTTCTCCAAATATTATATATTTCTCTTGGTCATTTAAGCTGAAAAACTACCCTTAAGCTAATAAAGACACTGAGATATATTGAAATAAATTCCTGGATAGGGTATGTTATATTGATTCTTTGTTCTCACCTTTCTATACTTATCTCTTTCTTCATTTAGCTCCTTGACCTTTTTCTCATAGTCTTTGAATTGTTTCTTTTCTTCTTCAGACCACAAAGCATCAGGTTTGGCCATGAAAGTAGGCTGAGGAACAGCCTAAAGGTATAAAGGAAAGCTGGGTGTTGTTAAGTACTGTCCAGTCAGTTCTGACTCATAGCGACCCTGTACAGGGCTTCCGAGGAGCAACTGGTAGGTTTGAACCATAGACCTTGTGGTACATGGTCCAGCGCTGATCCTACAGCACCATACCAAGGGAAACTTAAATTCTAGTTTAAACATAAATGTAGCAGTACAGTAAATGCGCAGAATGAGCCTTACAGTAAAAAAGAGTGCTTTAAAAGAATATTGTTTTTTACATTGGCAAGGACAATGGCCTGGCACTTTGACTAAAAGATATGAAAAGATATTTTTCTATGACTTTAGAACTTGGGATGTATCCAGACCCTTAGATGACAGATTTAGAGCTATGTGTTGATAGTTTTGTAGCTACAACTATGCCAGAGCTCTGGAAACATCCATGCTAGGTATCAAAACCAGGTTTCCTGGGTATGCAGAGGATGACAGGCACATTTTTATCTCAGCCTTCTGTAGAGACCACAAACTACTGTGTCATTTGCTTTGAGTCAGATTGGAAGTTTCAAAACCCTTTTTATTTTCTTAGCATGATACATTTATAAGGTACAAAGAGGTGATGTAATTTGTTTCTATAAAATATCTAAAACTCAGGTTTATAGAAAACAAAAATGGTACCATTTAAGGAACTCTTTCCAACCCATTCCACCTTCGGCAAAGTTGACCAGAAACCTCACCATTTTCAAGATGTCTTCCTTCTTGACTTCTAGAACACCTCCCATCATGTCCATTAGGGCTCGCTGCCTCACATCGGAGCTCTAGGAAAGAGCCAGAGTCAGAGAGGACAATGGAAACTGAGGTTGCTACTCTACGGGTGGTTGCAGGGGCAGGGACCTACCCAATGTTAGAATGAGTGCATCTAGGTTGGGGGCAGGGCGAGCACTGGCATGGAAGGGTGGGCAAGGCCAACTGAGATTCAAGTGCACATGACAAATGACTTCATGTTTCTAGAAAGCAGTACAAATCTAAGAGTATTAATTTAGGAAGGTCTTAGGTATTGTTTGAGTAACAATGCGTACCTGAAAGGCAAACCATCGCTCCAATTTTGGGGTCATGATCAATTCACCTTTGGCTTTTTTCCATGGTTTTACGTATTTGCTAGCTGTAATCTGAAAGAGACAATATGGTTTTCTGCTATTTGTCTCCTTCTTCTTCTTTTTGAAACCTGCTATTATTCTTTCAAAACTCAAGCCGAACCTTCCTTCCACACACTGAGAGAAGGTTAGAACTGAGTGAGGAGATTAAACAGACTATCACATTTCAAAGGGAAGCTTGAGAAGACAAAGTCAAATATTATAATCAAATGAGCAAAGATCTGGAATTAGAAAAGCAAAAGGGAAGAACATGCTCAGCATTTCTCAAGTTGAGGGAACTAAAGAAAATTCAAGCCTCGACTTGTAATATTGAATGATGATGCAGAAAGCATCAAAAGAAGATGGAAGGAATACACAGAGTCACTGTACCAAAAAGAAATAGTTGATGTTCAACCATTTCAAGAGATAGCATAGATCAAAAGCCAATGATACTGAAGGATGTAGTCCCTCTGCACTGAAGCCATTGGCAAAGAAGAAGGCTTCTGGAATTGATGGAATACAAACTGAAATCTTTCAACAAACTGATGTGGCACTGGAAGCACTCACTCATCTGTGCAAAGAAATTTCGAAGACAGATACCTGCCAATTGATTAGAAGAGATCCATATTCATGCCCATTCCAAAGAGAGGTGACTTAATAGAATGTGGACAATATCATTAATATTGCATGCAAATAAAATTTTGCTAAAGATAATTCAAAAACGGCTGCAGCAGTACATTGACAGGGAGCTTCCAGAGGTTCTAGCCAGATTCAGGGAAGTGGAACGAGGAATACCATTTCTGATGTCAGATGGATCTTGGCTGAAGGCAGAGAATACCAGAAAGATATTTACCTGTGTTATTGACTAGACAGGTAGTCAATAACATAGCTTGTCATGTTATTTTGACTGTGTTGATCATGACATGCTATGGACAACATTGGGAAGAATGAGTGTTCCAGAACATTTAATTGTGCTCCTAAGGAACTTGTACATAGACCAAGAGGCAGTTGTTCAACTAGAACAAGGGAACACTGAATGTTTAGAATTAGGAAAGGTGTGTGCCAGGGTTGTATTCTTTCACCAAACTTATTCAATCTGTATGGTGAGCAAATAATTTGAGAAACTGGATTATATGAAGAAAAATGTGACATTGGGATTGGAGGAAGGAAGACTCATTGACAACCTACAATATACAGATGATGCAACCTTGCTTGATGAAAGTGAAGAGGACTTAAAATACTTTCTGATGAAGATCAAAGACCATAACTTTTGTTATGGACTGCACCTCAATGTAAAGAAAACAAAACTCCCCACCACTGGACCAATAAATAACATCAAGATAAATGAAGAAAAGATTAAAGTTGTCAAAGACTTCATTTTGCTTGGTTCCACAATCAACTCTCATGAAAGTAGCAGTCAAGAAATCAAGCGACGTATTGTATTAGGCAAATCTGCTGCACAAGACCTCTTTAAAGAGTTCAAGAGCAAAGATGTCAGTTTGAAGACTAAGGTGCATCTGACCCAGAATATGGTATTTTCAATGATCTCACATGCATATGAAAATTGGAAAATGAATAAAGAAGACCATAGAATTGGCACATTTGAGTTATAGTATTGGAAGAGAATATTAAAAGTACTATGGACCACTAAAAGAACAAACAGATCTGTGTTGGAAGAAATAAAGCCAGAATGCTCCTTAGAAGCCAGGATGGCCAGATTTTGTCTATCATACTTGAGACTTGTTATCAGGAGGGACCAGACTCTGGAGAAGGACATCATGCTTGGTAAAGTGGAGGGTCAGGAAAAAACAGAAAGACTACCAACGAGATGGATTGGCACAGCGAGTGGCAGCAACAATGGGCTCAAGTGTAGCAAGGATTCTGAGGTTGGTGCAGGACCTGGCAGTGTGCAGTTCTGCTGTGCACAGGGTCGCTATGAGTCAGTACCAACCTGACAGCATCTAACAACAATAACATCCACGTTTTGCAATTGGTTTCTTGTATTGGAATAAAGATGTACTATAAAATGAAAGGGTTGGAATATAGATTTTTACTTCTCTATGGGTTCTAGAAACCTGTCTGAATGATCATCACCAGAGGCCTGGTTTAGACTAAGTGTGGAGGGTGTAATTCAACCAAGTATCATCTAAATTCTGGAAGATAGGGTCCTGAGGCGACAAGAGGTAGGGGCAGTCAAGGAATTGTGAGAACACAAATGTGGCCAGAACAAAGCAAGGTGGAGAGAGGGGTTGAAAAAGAAGGGGAGTGGAGGTGGGTAGTCAGGGAAAGACTTGTGGATTTCGTCAAAAGCAGTCACTACAGGGAGTTAAGGAGGGAGACACAACAAGATCACTCCCTCCCGAGTGTAGAATGAGTTTGAGTCAGAGAAGCCACTGTGGTGGGGTTCATGATGTGCATGCAAAGGACTGGGCAGAGCAGGACCCTCTTAAGAGGCAGATGGAGCTTCCTGCTAACAGGCTGCTCCAGGCTCAGGTCACATGACCAGAGTATAGTTCAAGAATAAACAACTTGCTTAAACAAGGGCAGTAGGGAGCAGCGGTTAGATGGTGGATGCCCTCCTCTGTTCCTTACTAGCTTCGTAAATGTGGCCAAGCATCCTTAACCTCTCTCTCCATGCTTCCGTGTCCTCACACGCACACTGGAAGTCACATTCGTTTCTACCTTGTAAGATTTTATTATTATCAATTAGTTTCAGGAGAGTTAGGGCACTTGCTGCAGTATCTGGCATCTACTAGGAACTATGTGCCTTCTAGACACTGCTACTATCTTTTGCCCCAAAGTAATCAAGTTTGCTCCATGTGAACAAGGGGTTTTCTGTGAATAGCCTTGCAAGAATTTTTTACTTTTGAAAACGGTATGGTCTAATTTTTACAGTTTTCTTTAAGGGTATATTTACAACCACCTTTATACCAAACATCCTTTAGCTAGGCTGCCCAGAGAGCCCATTTTCTCTGGGAATCTTGCCATCCTAATGACCTAGGTCAGTTTGGAGTTCCGTCAGCAGCTTCTCACAGTGCAACCCACCCTCCCTGAGCCCAGGTACTGAACCCAAGTTGAGCCAGGAGTCTCTTCCCAGGAAAATCTAGAATCGGAACTAAAAGACACTGCTTCATACAAGAAGCTCTCTTGAGTGGGAGGTAAAATATCAACTATAATGTGCTAGAGGGAACTGAAATGCAAAGAGAAGTGAGCTAAAAGGTAAAGAAAGAGGACTTCTGGACTACCCACAAGCTCCAGTCTTTCATTCCTCTTCTCACTAGACTCAGTGTCGACATCGTCCCTGGACACCATGAGATTTAGAATAGAAACCTCGTTATTGTTCAGGCTATGCCAACAGTTTTTCTTACTTGTAACCAAGAGTGCTGCCGGATACAATTACTTGCAGCAATGTAAACAAGAAGGTGAATAAGTAAGGGGCCCAGCAAGTCTCCTGAGGAAGAAAGGAGATAGTACCTCATGGTCTTCCACAACCAGGGTTCTCTCTGGCTTCTCACATTCTTCAAATTCTGGTTGCCAAACTTTTTCCTCCAACTCCAGATCTAAAATAATCTCTTGAATTCTTACATTTTTTTCTCTCACTCGTGCAATTTCAAACTCTTTTTGTTTATATGCAGCATTAAACTCATTATTAAAAATCGTTTTGACCTTGTAGATGATATCCTGAAACATCAATATGTTACTGAAAGCATGTCACAAAGGATCTTCTTATTGGCAATGTGATCCCACAATTCTACCTGCCCTCCCAAAGTCATTCCACAAATTATCAGCAAATTCACTTTTGTAAGATATTGTTTATATTAAGTCATTTTTGGGTTCCATATTCTACAGTGTTAGCCTGACCTGAGGTAGAGTAAGGCAACAGCAGAATTGTTATACCACAAGCGAGTTTTTGAAAAGAATATTGTATCTCAATAGACAGGTATGCTGATCCATGTTGACATTGTTGATGGGTACTTAGACGATCATTGGGCTTTTCTTTCTGCCTTTGTATATGTTTGTTTTGTTTTGTTTTTTTAAATCAATCAGAGTATTTTTTTTTTTTTTTAAGTAATATGTAAGATTTAAGTTGGGAAATGTCTTTCAATTGGGATTTAGTTTGGGGAAGATGTGGCGAAGAGGAGATGGTTTTAGAGGTTGTTTAGAAACTCGACCAGAGAAAACACCATTTGCCATGTTCTTTTTATGGACAGGTAGCATGGGCGCCTAAGCTACTTGCATCCGTCAATTCCTAAACAAGGCAGTAGGTTCCACTGGATGACCCACCCTCACTGCTGCTGAAAAGTTCAACAATGGATCAACTCAAAGTAGGCTTTATCTTACTATCAAAATTCAGTGTGAACATCTACCCTGGTGCAGATGAAACTATTGCAGTGGAAAATGATCTGGACGCCAGAATTTCTCTTTGACTGGAAAGTACCTTTGCATGGGAAAATACCTTAATAAAATAGTCAGAAGGTGAAGCCCTGAGGACCTAGGTCAGTAAATGTTGGACAGCAAAAGCGATAGCTTCTGAGCATAAACATTCTTAGTATAAATGAACAGTAATTTCAGGAGTTGGAGAAGCAGAATAGAGAAGGGCAGGCGGAGACAGCTGAACAATGTGCCCGAAAGCTAGGACTCAGATTGTAGACATGGCTGAAGGACTTTCAGGAATAGAAATATTGTTGTTAAGTGCTGTCGAGTTGGTTCTGACTCATAGAGATCCTGTATAGGGTTTCCAAGGAGCAACTAGTGGGTTTGAACTGCCAACCTTCTGGTTCTCGGTTCAGTGCTGAACTTGTAGCGCCACACCAAGAGTCCAACAGAAATATGCAGAATTAAATTCCAAACTATCTGCATTGGTTTAATCTCAGCCCTTGCATTAAAAAAACCACAAAACTTTAGTAGGATCTTCTATGTGTTCTGGGACTGACTTGTCTGGTGAAAAGTAAAGAATAAGTACTTAGAGACAGAAGGACACGATCCCTTATCCCTGCGCCCCAGAATTTATAGAAATATCTGAGAGAAAATTATACTTCCCCAGATTAAAAGGAGAGATAAGCAATCATATCTTGACTTTACAAGGCGATCCTAATAGGCATCTGAGTTACACAGAAAATGGTATCAAAGAATTTCATTTATTTTGGACTTTCAGTGTGGCGCTGCGGATTAAGGCACCAGACTGAAAAGCCGTTTGAACTACAAGGTTGGTGGTTCAAGCTCACCAGCTGCTCCTCGGAAAACCTATACAGGGTCACTATAGGTTGGAATCAACTTGACAACACTTAACAATAACAGCAAGCAGAAGAATAATGATTGGTAGTGCCAGTCAGTGTAAGAAGTTATTTAGAACCCTTGGTATAATAACCTCCCGTCTGAACAGATGACAGCAGCTCTTACACACAAGCACAGTTTCAATGATGTGCATGCTAGCCACCTGTCTAGGTACCAGCTTTAAAGATCATTTAGCTGACATTAGATTTCAGTGTGAGTCCATGAGAAACATGTGATAAAGGGAACTTTCGTGACTTTAGAGGATAAAGAGAAACTTCACCCACCTTCAGTAATATGATTTGGTTGACCTTATCTTCCCTTGAATGAAGTTCCAACTGGCTTGACAAAAAAGAGGTATCTACCCCAAAATCAGTGCTCAGACTGCCAAGCAGGTAATTGGGCAAGTTGGTATCTTTTGCTATCATGTTTTCTTTATCCTCTTCATCATCTTCTTCTTGATGCTTTTTACCCAAGGAAACTGCAGGCTGGGCCTCTACAATTTCCTTCCGTAGCTAAACAGGGAAAAAGATAACATGGTGGACCTTCTTCAAAAATAACAATTCCCTAAAGGGAAATATTTTGGCAACTTTATGATTTCAAAGGAGTCTTGGTGACACTGTTTAATGACTGAGTTCAGCTGTGGGAGAAAGAGATGAGGCTTTCAGCTCCCATAAAGATTTACTGCATAGGTAATTCCTCTACAGGGTTGTAATACAGGATGAGTTGAAGTTTTAGGTTTTAACAATTTCAACAATCATACAGAGTTGTTAAATCCTCTCACCAACAACTGATTTTAAAGCGATGTATGTTGTTGTTGTTAAGTGCCGTTGAGTCGGTTCTGACCCATAGTGACCCTGTTTAGGGTTTCCAAGGAGCAGCTAGTAAACTTGAACCACCAACCTAGTAGATCAAACCGACTTTGCAGTTCAGCACGTTAAGCCACAGCACATCATGATCCTGAAATTGTACAGAACACACTAAAGCTGCAGAAATAGGCTCTGTGAAAAAAAATCAAGAGGGTACAAAGTGTCCTTGATAGTATCTAATGTGCATATATGTTTTAGTGTCAGGACTACACCTGCTTGGAAGTATGTTTAGTTTTTCTTAGAACCTAAGCATTAAAAAATATATATCTTCCCTTTATAGATTATCAAGCAACTAGTTCACATAGGACTGGCAAGTGTAGGTTAAGAAGAATTAAGTATTTGTTTTACGTTTCAGAAAGAGAGAAGATGCAGAGTTCTAGCTGAGGTAAAATACAAAGAGACTGTGTATTCTAGTGCTGCCAAAGAAGCAGCGGCTGCTTTAAGAAGTTTCATTTCAGCAGAACAGGTTATATTACAGCCTATCTCAGTGACTTTTCAAAAATGATGCCTCGTGATAGAAGAGGATAATGTACATATGGGTGGATAAAGACAGCCTCTGACCAGGACAAGGAAAATCCCCAAACCTCATTTTTCAGTAGATTGTCAGATTTAAAGAGTAACCAAAGTTGTCTAGGGTGCTGTTGTTAGGTGCTGTGGAGTCGGTTCTGACTCATAACAACCCTGCATAGGGTTTCTGAGGCTGTACATCTTTATGGAACAGAAAACCTCATCTTTCTCCTGGGGAGCAGTTGGTGGGTTTGAACTGCCAACCTTGTGGTAGCAGTCCAGTGCTTATCCTACAGTGCCACTGGCATTCCTTATACAGGATGCAAGTCCCTGGTGTATTGTGGGGACACAGGAAAGTCACTAGAATATTTTCTATAAATCAACAAGGAGTGAAAAGATTAATGCAAACAATGTCTACATTTATCTTAAGCTGCAGCCCACTCAAATCCATACAGAGACCTTGAAATAAGATGAATAACTTATAAAACCATAGTTATTAACTGTACTTTAAGACACTCTGCTTCAGTCTTCTTTTGTTGTAAAACTGACTCCAATTCTTTCAACTCTTCAGCTGTGCGCTCTTTCATTGGGAAGTTCTCAACCATATAGGGTATGTGAAAGCACTGTGGGGGAAAAGAAAGATGAAATAAATCAATACTTAGTACAATTGTGTATATCTGGGGGTGGGCTAGAGGATGTTTTCCCCTATTCTTCATATTAAAATTAATACCATAAATAGAATAACATCTATAAGTGAAATTGGCAATGGCAATATCTTTCAAATTAAAGTGTTTTCTGTTAGTACAGTAGGTTCCCCAGTATCCACTGTTTCTGGTCCCTGCAGTCAACCACAGTCTGAAATATGAAATGGAAAATCCCAGAGATAAACAACTCCTGAGTTTTAAGTTGCGCCATGTTTTGAGTGCCGTGATGAAATTTCGCAGTGTCTTGTTCCGTCCCATCTTGTGATTCGTCCCATCGAATCCACACTGTCTACACTGCCTGGACACTGGTCACTTAGTAGCTATCTCAGTCTTGCTCTCTATGCTCCTTGGACACTGGTCACTTAGTAGCCATCTTGGTCATCAGATCAGTGAACATGGTATTGCAGTGCTTGTATCCCAGTAACCCTTATTTTACTCAATAATTATTCTATTTTATTATTAGTTATTGCTGTTAGTTTCTTACTGTGGCTAGTTTATAAGTTAAACTTTATCATAAGTGCATCTGTGTAGAAAAAACCATGGTATATATAATATAGGGCTTGGTACACTCTGTTTTCAGGCATCCATGACTCAATGGCATCTAATAATAACGACGGGACATTTGGCAATGTGTAGAGACATTCTTGACTGTCATGTCCGAGGCGAGAAGGTGTTATTGGTGTCTAGTTGCTAAATATGCTACAGTGCAAAGGAAAATAATGATCCTACAATGCATGGGGGGGAAAATGCACTGGCTAAGAATTAGCCAGTCCAAAAGGTTGCTAGTGTTGTTGTTGGGAAATGTTCTAGAGCAATGTTCAATCACATAAATACTGTTGTCATTGTTGAGTGCGGTCAAGTCAGTCCTGACTCATAGCGACCCTGTATAGGGTTTCCAAGACTTTAAAAATCTTTGCACGCGCAGAAAACCTCATCTTTCCTCCACAGAGTGGCTGGCAGACTTGAACTTCGAACCTTGTGCTTCGCAGTCCTGTGCTTATCATATGGAGCCACCACACTCCCCCACATAAATGTAGAGTGATTATATACTTCATTAGTCAAATGGATGGGTGCTTGTGAATGGAAGGGGTGCAGTTAATAGTTACTCTGGGACAACAGGCATAAATCAGGACATTTGGCCATGCTACACAGAGGAAAACTGTGTTGGGAGGAACCGCAATACAAAAGACTGTTAGCAAATATGGAGGCAGGCACAGATGGACATGTGACCAGTGTGATGGCCAGGTTTTACTTGGTGTGGAATGTCAGTGATGGGGTCTGCTGAAATAGGTATTAAAGTCCAGTTGCAGAGGAAAGAAGGAAAGATCTACTAAGACAAATACTGAGATATTGTAGCTAAGAAGCATATCAAGGATAAGCGGAAAGAAATGATCCATCTCAGAGGAATTCTGAGTAGGAAAAGGAAAGCTTTGAATTCTATGCTATATATGGATTTTCTGATATATATTTAAACATCACTGCTATGAGACTGAAATGAAAATTCTCGTCTCTGTAGGTCTGTATCGGGGTTATAGAGATTACCTTAAGAGAGCGGCCTTTCACAGCCATCGAATTCCAGCACTCTTCTTTGATAAGTTCAGCTAGATATCTCTTGGCTAGGTTGTCCATCTCTGTATCATTTCTTATCTTGAAGAACACAGATGAAGTGAAAAGTCAAAAATAAAAGTGTGGCTTCTTTAAAAAAAAAAAAAATCTCAGTTTTCCAATTCTCTAATGACTCTGTCCCATAGGCCTGCTGTGGTAGGCATACAAGAAGTCAACATTACGATTACAAGACAGAGTTTGACTGTCTTTCTCCAACCCACTGAGTTGCATTTTTGGGGAGAGGACTTCTCTGTCTTTGAGAATGTTTCCTGAAGTTTATGCCTATAGGAATCCTTGAGAATTGAGTGTTAACACACAAAAAAGAAATGTCAGAGGGAAGCTGGAGTACCCATAATCACAATACATTGGACGACTGGTACAGGGCAGTGATGTGGACCCACCTGTCTTGTTCATTGCTATATCCCTGGTACCTAGTATGCGGCATAAATGTTGCATGATGTTGTTGCTGTTAAATGCTGCCAAATCACTTCTAACTCACAGCGACTTAATGCACAACAGAACAAAACACTGCCCGGTCCTACACCATCCTCACAGTTATTGTTATGTTTGAGCCCATTGTTGTCACCGTGTCATTCCATCTCATTGGGGCCTGTCCCCTTTTTTGCTAACCCTCCACTTAACCCAAGCATGATGTCCTTCAGGGGACTGGTTCCTCTTGACAATGTGTCCAAAGAACGAGAGAAGAAGTCTCGCTATTCTCGCTTTTAAGGAGCATTCTGACTGTACTGCCAAGGTAGATGTGTTTGTGCTTCTGGCAGTCCTTGGTGCTTTGAATATTCTTCTCAGATACCCTAATTCAAATGCATCCATTCTTCTACTACTTCCTTATCTATTGTTCAACATTCACACAGTCAGTATGAGGCAATTGAAAATACCAAGGTGTAGGTCAGTTGTAGCTTTCTCCTCAAACTGACATCTTTGTTCTTTAACACTTTAAAAAGGTCTTGTGCATCAGATTTGATTTCAACACTTCCATGAGTGTTGATTATGGATCCAAGCAAAATAAAGCCTTTGACAATGTCAGTCTTTTTTCACTGTATCATATTTACTGGTTCAGTTATTTGATTTCCATCAGAAAGTATTTCAAGTCCTCTTCATTTCCAGTAAGCAAGGTTGTGTCATCTGCATACCTCAGACTGTTAATGAGTCTTCGTTCTCCATATGATCTAATGATGTCATGCTCTTTTCATATAATCCAGGTTCTCAGATTACTTGCTCAGCATACAGCTTGAATCAGTAAGGTGAAAGGAGACAACCCTGGCACACACCTTCCCTGATTTAAAACCATTCAGTATCCCCTTGCTCTGTTCTAACCACTGCTGGTTTATGTACAGGTTTCTCAGGAGCACAATGAAGTGTTCTGGAATACCTATTATCTATTCAATATTATCCATAGCTTGTCATGATCCACACAGTCAAAAACCCTTTGTATAGTCAATAAAGCACAAGTAAACATCTTTCTGGTATTCTCTGCTTTCAGTTAAGATCCATCTGACATCAGCAGTGACATCCCTAGTTCCATGTCCTCTTCTGAGTCTGGCTTGAATTTCTGGCAGCTCCCTGTCCCATCTACTGTTGTGATAATTTTTAAATTATCTTTAGCAAAAATGATCAGCCAAAACAAGGCCAGGCATGACTGTGCAATTGCTCATATGCAAGTTCATGCTGAAACTTAAGAAAATGAAAACAAGTCCACAAGAGCGAAAACATGATCTTATATATTATAAAGCCCAAATAAAGTTAGAAACTCTCAAGAATAGATTCGATACATCTGACACTAATGCCCAAAGACCAGAAGAGTTGTGGAATGATATCAAGAAAAGTCATCCATGAAGAAAGCAAAAAGTCATTTACAAGACAGGGAAGAAAGAAAAGACCAAAATGGATGTCAGAAGAGACTGAAATTTGAATGGAGAGAAGCTAAAGCAACTGGAAGAAATGATAAAGCAAAAGAACTGAACAGAACAGTTCAAAGAGCAGCTTGAAAAGACAAATTCAAGTATTCCAATGAGATGTGCAAAGCCCTGGAATTAGAAAACCAAAATGGAAGAACAAGTTCAGCATTTCTCAAGCAGAAAGAACTGAAGAAAAAAAATTAAGCCTTAACTTGCAATATTAAAGGGTTCTACGGCAAAACATTGAATGATGCAGGAAGCATCTAAAAAAGACAAAAGAAATACGAAACTGATGGTATTGAATGAAGAGGTCCAAGCTGCACTCAAGGCATTGGGGAAAAACAAGGTTCCAGGAATTGATGAAATACAAATTGAAATGTTTCAACAAACTGATGTGACACTGGAAGCCCTTACTCATTGATGTCAAAAAATTTGACATCAACAAATTTCTAGTCAGTTAGAAGAGATCCATATTTCTGCCTGTTCCAAAGAAGGTTATCCAATAGGATGTGGAAATCATTTAACAATATCATTAGTATCATATGAAAGAAAAACTTTGCTGAAGATAATTAAAAAATGATTACAGCAGTATAGTGACAGGGAACTGCCAGAAATTCAAGCTGGATTCAGAAAAGGATGTGGAATGAGGGATGTCATTGCTGATATCAGATGGATTTGGGCTGAAAGCAGAGAATATCAGAAAGATGTTTACCTGTACTTTACTGATTATGCAAAGTCATTCAATTCCATGGGTCACAACAAATTATGTATAACATTGCAAAGAATGAGAATTTCAGAACACTTAATTATGCTCATGTAAACCTTTACATAGACTAAGAGGCACTCGTTCAAACATAACAGGAGGATACTGTGTGGTTTAAAATCAGAAAAGGTGTGCATCCAGGTTGATCTTTTCATCATACGTATTCACTCTATTTGCTGAGCAAACAGTCTGAAAAGAATGCAGTATCAGGATAGGAGGAATACTAATTATTTAACCTTCTATAATGTAGATGACACAACCTTGCTTGCTGAAAGCAAAGAAGACTTGAAGCATTCACTGATCAAGATTGAAGACTACAGCCTTTAGTATGAATGACAATGCAATGTAATGAAAACAAAAATCCTCACAACTGGACCAATAAACAACATCATGATAGAAGAAAGGATTGAAGTTGTCAAGGAGATCATCTTACTTGAATACACAATTAACACCCATGGAAACCACAGACAAGTAATCAAATGACATCTTGTACTGGGGAATCTGCTGCAAAAGACCTCTTGAAAGTCTTAAAGAGCAAAGATGCCACTTTGAGGACTAGGGTGCATTTGACTCACGCCATGGCATTTTCAGTGACCTCATACATATGTGAAAGCCGGGCAATGAATAAGGACAATCAAAGAAGAATTGATGCCTTTGAATTATAGCGCTGGTAAAGAATATTGAATATCGGACTCCAGAAGAATGAACACATCTGTGTTGGAAGAAGTGCAGCCAGAATGCTCCTTGGAAGCAAGACAGGTGAGATTTCATGTCACATACTTCAGACATGTTATCAGGAGGGAGCAGTCCCTGGAGAAGGATATCATGCTTGCTAAAGTGTTGGGTCAGTGAAAGAGAGGAAGACCCCCAATGAGATGGACAGACACAGTGTCTGCACCAATGGGCTCAAGCATTACAACACTTGTAAGGATGGCCCGGGGCCAGGCAGTGCTTTGTTCTGTTGTGCGTAGGGTCACTATGAGCCATAAGTCACTTGACGGCACCTAACAATAATAACAAAACTATGCTAGACAAGTTTTTGCTTTAGTTCCATCATTCTGAAAAGGTTCCCGTTCCCGTTTTCTTTTTACTTCTTTCCTTATAACTTTTTTTTT